CTATAACAAGATTCCGATTGATATACAAAATTTGCCTTTCACTAGGTTTAAAACTATAGTGAAACAAAAACTTTATACTAAAGGTTATTATACAACTTCTGTGTACTTGGATGACAAAAATCCGTGGTAATAACCCGTTTAGCTCATGGAGGTAGTCTCGATCTCTGGTGTTTCAAAACAAAAAAAATAGAATGTAAATGTTGAATGTGTACAAATGTTATTTACAAAGAGCAACCCCTAGAGTTTCTTGCTCATTCTTCTCAGGAGAAACTGCCTTATGAATGAGCGGTAGAGTTTAACCATTGTGACGATTTCAAGTGTAATAATGCTTACCTATGAAATAAAGATTATTTATGGGGTAGACGGAGACCATCGATCGTCACTTAGCACGATCCTGATCACTGACATATATCTAAATAGACATCGCTAGTACCGGGATCTGTAGAAAAATCAAGCGCGCCATATTTTTTATACCTCTGATGATGTAACAAGCGCTATTTAGTGGTGAAGAACTTTATCCATAACACGTAATTTGAAGGACACTGCCATTACATCACACACACATGCGCGCGCGCGCACGCACACACACACACACACACACACACACACACATACACACACGCACACGCGCACACACACACACACACGCACACGCACGCGCACACACACACACACTCACACTCACGCACACACACACACACACGCACACGCACGCGCCCACACACACACACACACTCACACTCACATACACACACACACATACACACACACACACACACACACACACACACACACACACACACACACATTTTTGCACTAGATGCCTATGCTTTATTTTGTAACTTATTTGTATTTTTATATTAAGTTTAAGTGTAAGAGGACACAATTATAGCTTAACTATAAGCTATAATTGTGACCCCGAAGTTAAGTTGTGTGGCACTTCTCTTAATAGGGTCACTAAATTTAAGCATCTTGGGCATTGGGTCAGTGAGTCCTTGGAGGATAACACTGGTATTGAGAGAGAGCGTAGGGCATTAGCCGTGTGGGGCAACATGTTGGCCCGTAAGTTTGCAAGGTGTATTGACAACGTGAAGGTATCTCTTTTAAAGCTTACTGCCAGACCTGTTATACCTGCAGCCTATAGGTTAACAACACTCGGAAAGCTCTTAACTCTCTAAGAGTTGTTTACAATAATATATTCCGGATGTTGTTGCGGCTGCCACGATTCTGTAGCGCGTCAGGAATGTTCGCCGATGTTCATTATTTCAACATTGGACCAAACTTCATATGTACCCTAAACCCAGCACATATTTATAAGTTTGTAATTACTAACTTCCTTTACTTCACAAAAAGGAGAAGGTTCTCAATTCGACTGTATGTATGTTTTTTTTTGTATGTTCTTTTACACGATAACTCCGGTATTGGTGTTCCGATTTTCACGATTCTTTTTTGTTGGAAAGAGGGTACCTCCACAGTGGTCCCATTTAATTTTAAAGAAAATCATCCACCTCTTAGGGTGGGTGTTCACGCATGAAGATTCATTTTTATAAATAACGCCTGAATTTTATTATAAGGAGCAATTATTTTAATGGTTGATTTTGCTATTCTCCAATTCAAGGCGTTTTTAGTACTCTGTACTGAGATTATCTGTTACACTAAGAGGGAGTGAGCCTGGTGATCTGTAACACAGGTTTCCAACCAAGTACAGACTCCAGCTCTCACTAATACTAGTTATTGTTGTTTTTATTTTTAGGTAATTGATAATTGTATTTTTAATGTATTCATATGCTGTAACTATACCTTATCGAGAGAAATAAAGCATATATTTTCCTGCGTCGGTCACTCTGAGACATTAATTGATAAGTCCATGTGCCTGTAATTTGACCCTTAAAAGCTGGAACACAGCTCACGTCACTGCTTGGTAGAAATAGGTAAGGTGGGCTGTACTTCCCTGGACAAACTCGGTCACAAGGAGCTCTACTGCTACTAAACTCTCTCTCTCGAGAATTTGTTTCTTGTTTTTAATTAAAACTTCTATTCTATTGCGACTTAATCTGTTTGTACGATTTATAATAAACAAATAAATAATGACGCCAGCTACCACAGCGTACACAAAACAACAGTGGCAGGCTACTTAACTACGCAGTGTAGTGAATACTACTTAGGCAGGCTTCTCACTATACCAACAACATTTTTTAACCTAATAGATATTTGTGTAATGCAGAGGAAATTATTGTTGAGAAATAGCTTTAAAAAATCAGAAAAAGAAAAAAAATCATAATCACTATGAACTTATTGGGGAGGTTAGTGGCCGCAGTGAAACTGCATTATTACAAGTAGATAAGCTAATTACAAGCACTTTATAATATTCTGGTACAGGCCTGTGAGCATTGTAGACGTGAGATACAGAACGTAGGTTCAGTGGTCAGCTTTGGGATGGGCTTATCCATTAGTGTAGTAATGCAAATTGTTATTAATTAGCATTACTACACATATTTAAAGTATATTCCACCGAAAATATAAAACAACGTTAACTGTTTAATTCGTAAAAAGAATTCTAAATGACTTTAACATTAAAACAACTATTTCTTTGCGTTTACTATTTTCAATAATGGTACGTGAAATTATGTTTCTTATGATTAAATGAAAATATGTAATGAAATTAATGTAACATTATTATAAATATAATTTCATTATCTCATTTTAGGTAATTCAACTGACTCTAAAGAGAAAGTATATACGAGCGCACTTGCGAGATCCTCCATCTTTTTTGACCCGTGTACAATATGATATTACGAAGTTGTGATCAAGAAGAAGAAAAAAAAGATCTATTAGAAGTTTATAACAATGTGATTACAGTAATAGGTTCTAGGGGGAATAGACCCTATCTACAACGCCACGTATAAAATGCCTAATCATTTCTTCACAAAAACAATTTTAAATCTAATTTGCTATAACAATATTAACAGTAGGGAATAAGACATCAAAGAAAAATATGACGATTATGATTTAGCAAACAATAGCAACTAGGAAGAAGGAAATGCGGTTAATGTTTATTGATATAATTTTATAAACATATCTGTAACAATATTATCGTCTATTGTTACAATTCTAAAGTGGAAAACCCAGACATGTTATGTTACACACACCTATCATTAGCAGGGCTGGGTAGCAATTTGAATTACTTACAATTGAAATACGACCTTGAAACACAAATACGTATTTTGTATCTGCAATTCAATTATTTAAAAACATGTGTTTTGTAGTTGTTATTTCAAATATCTGACAATAACGTATTATGTACCTAATTGATATTTCAAAAAAATAGCTGCGCGGTGTCCAGTTGATGGTAATGAATGTACTTTGTTTTTCTTGTTTTAAATAAATGAGGTCCGAATAGCATACATTTCATGAATGTATTTTATAATTTGTATTTGAATTAAAACGGCATATACACATGTTGCCCAGCCCTTTTTCTTTTTTTTGACGGGGGGAAATCTTTATGGATACCCCTGAGCCCAGGGAGACTCAGGGGTTATGTGGGGACTCTCCCTCCAGACTGGAGGGCCTACCCCACTAAAACCCCCCCCGGCTTTCCCTCTCGCCGGTTGAGCTGGCGCCGTGGGATCAGTGAACATTCACCACGACGCCGCCCGGCAGCTCTAGCTTACGCCAGGGCTCCCGATGTTGCCCATCCCTGCTTGTTATTACATTAAAGGCTGTTTCACTATCGAGCAATCTCCCAATATGCAAGGGCTTGTTTCGCCCACTCTTTGCTTTCTACCCTACCCATTAGCAGCAGTTGAACTCCATGTGAAAGTTCGTCCAGGGAAGTAGTACCACTATATCAAATTCTGCCGTCAAGCAGTAATGTAAGAATTACTGCTTTCTAGTTTTGAAGGTGTTTTGTTGGGGTTTTGTTAGTGAAATTACGGGTACTTGGGACATATCAACTTTATGCCTCAGAGTTGTCTAACAGTCAGGCTAACAGTCCCCTCAGATCTTTGCAATTTAAAATAAAGCTCTGAGTGGCACTGCAATGGATAGGCGGTTCGCTTACTACCGCTGCACCAGGCGCACGGCTTGTTTGTCTTGCCATTTGATATCATAAACGACACCTTAACGCTGACTCGGTCGCTCGTATGTTTTCTTCCCATCTTCCGGTAGGAAGGGTAATAGTGTTCTGGTGAAATTAGAGGCACTTGGGACTTGTCAGCTTATGTCTGAAGGTGACGGCCATAGTGGCAGGCCCGTCAGGTTTTTGAGATTTAAAGCTGTGAGTGCTGTGTTGCTTACCACCAAGCGCACGACTTATTCGTCTCGTAATTTAGCATCATAAAAAAATATTTTAATAAATTTTAAAAAATCCTACACCTCGCGTGGAATGGGGCTATGGCCACGTGGTTTACAATCCACGGCCACGCCTGCTGTTGTCCACCGTATATGTAAGGTGGCAGTGCTTTCCTAGACGAACTCTTTCACAAGGTGCTCTACTGCATACTACAACATAACCACCGCGTCTACCAGTAACTCGTTGGTATCCATGGCGGATTTAACCCCAAAAAAAGGCGAGTTAAAGTCAGAAAATGTGTTTTTTTCTGAAAACGGGGTTATGGTTTTTATGATATCTCAAAAAATATTTTGTCACTTAGCCTTGTTTTAGTTAGTGGACGTCAGATATCGACCCATACGCATTCACTGTTGGACATAACCCTCTCTCATGGGGACCACGACAATAGTTTACTCTCCCGATCTTTTGATGCCCGCAACCAACCACTGATCGACAACCTTTCTCAGGTCGTCCGTCCATCTTTTTTCGTTTATTCAAAGTTCTTTATATTATGCTCTAATTATGTCAAGTGGTTAGAAACAAAATGGTTAGAAATGCTCAAAACCCGGAAAGATGGCATAAACTGAAGAAGCCTTACATCTTAGAGGTTGAGAACGGCTAAAGAAGAAGAAGATAATTATATCATCTGAAACAATGAGAAAGCATTGGTCCTGGATGTTGGAATATGCCTAGACCCTCTAATGCCCCTCGAAAAGTACGTCGCCAAGTTACAGGTAATTATTTACTTTAAGATTTTTGTAACAGAAGCCTAAACACACCTTTGTTGCCGTAAATTATATCAGTAATCTTGACATTTATTTATAAAAGTTTGCAAATACTAGTGTATGTACAGAAGGTAGGAGTATGCGACCGTAAATTTACTTACCACCCATGACTTGGGTTTGTTATCTCTTAGCGGGGGTTGTGACGCACGTACAGCAGCATATAAAAGGAGATTCTAAGTGACAGTGGAGATAGTCTAATGGGCTTGCCTTACTCGCTACCGTTACTGAAAATATCAGTAACTAGCGAACTTATTGAGCTGTGATATATCTTTTCATTAAGGTAAGACTTGAAGAGATAATTACTGTAAAAAAAGTTTTACAAATGTTTTCGACGGACATTAGGGTTGAATATAAAAAAATGCGTGGATGTTTCCCAACCCGCTTTGAGCTCGCGTAGTGAGCTATGTCCTCCTGTTGGAGAAGTACTGTGTCCATATACCATAAAGTTTATAAATCCAGCTCTTCCGTAACTATTCAGTTAATCAGGCAGTAACTGTAGTATGTTTGCAGCAAATTGAAGGAAATATTAACATTTCAAAATAATAAATAAATAATTTGTCTTTCAGATACCACTATGCAGATCAAATTGGGCAAGTCCCATGATGCTGACCGAGAGGGAAAACCATCACCCAGCTCGGCCACAGTTGACGAGGCATTAACTTTTACAGGTAGGCGTTCTACTTCTATCTCGTCTACTTCTAATTCTCTATCTTTACAATCTTCAAGGCTTTTACATGGTGTAGGTACTATTTTTTTTGTACCGCAAACAGTAATACTATACAAAATATAATGGTTACCATTTTTTTTTTAACATGACACCTCGAAAATATTTGAAATGTCCATTATAAAATAAATTTTTAGATTGTGCACAAAATTTTTAGACAAGTTCGTTCGTGTGTTCGACATCTTTTTTAAAATAATTTCTAATGAAATTTAGGACAAAATTTTCTATTATACCTAAACATTTCTTACTGGATGTTCATTAGTGGTGAGTGTCGATTAATGGTTAGTTAATTAGTAGATTTTTGGTGTTGATTATTGGAATTTAGAGAAATTGTAATTGTAAGTTTTTTAGTAATAATTATAATATCTTTTTCATGAAATATACTACAGCATTATTTTTCTTGAGGATATCTGTCAAATAAACTTATCGCTATTGATGTATTGTTTAAAAACAAAAAAGTTATTTAAAGAGACACTTCCTTAAAATGCCGGTCATTGGTAAAAATACCCTAATTAACCGACTTCAAAAAAAGGAGGAGGTTATCAATGCTACTGGTGTTTTTTTTTTGTATGTATGTACATATGTTACGCGATAATTCCAGCATTTGTGAACCGATTTTGATGATTCTTTTTATGTTGGAAAGAGGGTACCTCAGTAGTGGTGGTTGTTTAAATGGGACATTTAAATTTGAAGAAAATATTCCAGCTCTACGAGTAGCAAACTAGGGGTGAATCCGGTTTAGCGTACTTTCCGGTAACTGGTTTCAATAAAACTTGGCAAATAGATGTGATTCCACGAATTTTTGAGGTCGGTTTTTTAGTACTGCGATTGTTCAAATACTATTTTTCCCTTCAAGTTTCAAATCAAAGTCGAACTTTGAGTGTTAATAAAGTCAAAAACAGTTTTGAATAGAGGAAACTGCAGAAACGACTAGGAAAATCCGAAATAAAAAACAGTCTGGTCATTGACACCTCATTGCTATAGTAAATATTATAGATTTGTTTACGTATACAAAACAGGAAACATAACTATGTGTGTATATATATATCTATTGTATTATGCCTCATGATGTTACCGCCAATAAGTTAATTAGTTAGCAGCGCTAGAGCTCCTTGTGAAAGAGCTCGTCCACGGAAGTACTGCCACCTATTTCTGCCGCCAAGAAGTAATGTTAGCATTACTGCGTTCCGGTTTAGAAGAGTTAAGTAAAATTACAGGCACATGGGACTTGTCTACTTATGTCCCTGCGTGACAAGCGCAGTGACAGTGTCAGACCTTTGCGTTTTAAAGCTCTGAATGGCACTGCAACCGTTATGAACAGGCGTGTGACTGGTGGTAAGCGTCACTGGGTTTTATAAAAAAAAATATTGGAACTATGCATTCTTGCGTTTAATATCATGTTTTATTATGAAACTATCTACAAATCATAATAATCATAGAATTCACAGAGTTTTCTTGTAATATTTAATAGTGTTATTAATATTTTTAAGTTATTAAAAATTAGTAGAATTAGAATAAAACGAATTAACTTACTTTAGTATTAATTATCTGACCGTACCATTCTGTCGATACGAGGTTTACCTATCGAGTTAGCGAGAGTGAATCGTGGGGAGTCGTGCTACCGATGGAGTCCGTCAAAGGTAGTATATACGTTTTTGTGTAGTAAAGGCGATTCGAAAACGTGACGTAGGATTGAAATATTCGTGCTTGGGCCAATGAACATGGGGTTTAAGGTTAGGTTTAAATTTTAACATCTACATCATTAACCCAAAACAGTCAACTATTAGACATTAAGTTCTACAAAAGTAAGAGGATCGAAACTGGAGCTTTGCCACACCTCCGAGAGAATATTGTTATAAAGTGACTGGTACTTACATCTAATTTGTAGGACAAGTTTTTATATTGGAAATGTTTCTTATCAGGTTTCGGCAAATACAACTTCGGACTACTTCTGGTATGCAGTTGGACACTTCAGGCGATGGGAATGGACCTGTTTGGCACCAGCTTTGTGGTGGCCGCGGCGGTTTGCGATTTGGAACTGACGATGCAGCAACGCGCCTTACTTACAGCTATGCCCCTTGTTGGTAAGTGTGTTATACGATATTCTCCTCCTTTATTAAAAAAATCTTTTAATAGAGTACAAATACCTATATTTCTCTGGTACCAGAGGGTCTACTCTCGATCTCCGTCGGACATCCGTCCGAAACAATTACTGCCAAATAAGCAATACTTGACCAAATGAAAAGACGCGTCATGCGAGTGAAGCTTCATACTTGACACTTGTCTTTTAATTTTGTCGAATTTTACTTATTTGATCATTGACTTACAAAGAAATGGACGACGGGTCTAATACAAAAACCACGAAAAAAATGTCCCAAGTCAACCTATTTAAACGTAGTGACATGTAAAGGAATATGAAAAAGCTAAAACGTTGAATTTAAATTGTAATGTCATCGAAGTACTGTCTAATTTTGCTTGCTTCGCTGTCAGTCGAACAAACGAAGACTAAAGCGTGAATGACGCTCTGTATACGATTTTAACGCCCTATAAGTTCGGACACTTTTTAGCGCGGACCCGACGTCCATATAATTGTAAGTCAATGTATTTGGTAGTAATTGTTTCGGACGGATGTCGGGAGATCGAGAGAAGACCCCCTGCTCTGACAATCGTTAGTCCTAAAGGCCTTTAATTTCCACCACTGTCACATGTGGTCTACGTTAAGTTTATTCACATGAACGCCCTAAAAATAACACGATCTACATGAAACAAATTAGTATATGTGGAATTTAACACGTCTCCTATTTAATAAGAATCGATACTACCTCGGCTCGAGTTTAGTTTTTTCTCGTACTGAATCGATTCTATTGCGCGGGTCGAGCGGCTAGAATACTGAGTTTATTTCAGAATTAATTTTTTAACCAACCTAATTAAAGCCATTTGAAAAGTGTATATCGTATACCATATGTGTTCTATTTAGTTAAGTTGATATTTAAAAAATCATTGGTAAAGTCATTGACTTACAATTATATGGACGTCGGGTCCGCGCTAAAACGTGTCCGAACTTATAGGGCGTTAAATTCGTATACAGAGCGTCATTCACACTCTAGTCTTCGTTTGTTCGACTGACAGCGAAGCAAGCAATATTAGACAGTACTGCGATGACATTACAATTTAAATTCAACGTTTTTAGCATTTATTTGTAAGTCAATGGGTAAAATACAATATTTGTTTTTTGTATAAAGTTTTTAGGAATCCTGTTTTCTCACCGTATACTAATCAGTGTATACATATGTGTATATCCTCAATGTTATTACATTTAAATTTTTAGTAGAAGTAGAGGTTCTTGTGAAAGAGTTCCTTCAGGGTAGTACTGCCACCTTATCTATTTCTGCTGCCAAGCAGTATTGTCAGCATTGCTGTGTTCTGGTTTTGAAAGTTAAGAGTTCAATTACAGGCACGTGGGACTTGAGAACTTATGTCTCAGGGTGACGGGCGCAGTGGCAATGCGCCTCAGATCTTTAACGCAAAAAGAGCGGAGTGGCACTGAAACTGAAACTGTGTGACTAATTTCGCTCGTAGATTCTTTAAAACTTTCTCCTGAAAAATTGGCATTTTGTAAAAAAATACTCATAAACTACTGTGGTTCTGCAGGTGTAGTAACAGGAGCGCAGCTATGGGGTTACGTGGCAGACACAAAAGGAAGACGGCTGACCCTAATGCTGTCGATGTCAGTCGGATTCGTATTCGCAGCCCTCAGTAGCTTCGCACCTGACTGGCGCTCTATGGCCGTGCTGAAACTCATTTCTTCTACGTTGTAAGTATTACCTATATTTTTAATGACATCCAAGTGACTTATAATGGGACTAACAAGTCATTAACTCCCACTTAACTCCATCCAAAGTAGGGCTGTTCGTATTGTCGACGATCCCAAATTCGCAGTCGGTGTGGAGCCCCTTAGGCTACGGAAAGACGTTGGCACTCTGTATGTGTTCTACTGTCTTTATAATGGGGAACACTCTGAGAAACTTTTCGAACTGGTGCACTTCCCGCCAAAGGAGTAGAGTCCATCCCGACATCTTAGATACCTGGCATTGTAAGACCACGCGGGCATCTCTTTCGTTCCTTTCGTTCCTCGAACCTGCAAGACGTGGAATGATCTTCCTCTTGAAGTATTTTCTTTGCGCTACGACATGGGGTTCTTCAAATCAAGTCAAATCAATCAAGTGGGTTGTCTGCTCGTTTGCCTCCTTCTTTACATAAAAAAACCAGTTGTTGTGCCACACAGAACTTTAATCGCAAAGATCTAACGGGCACTGCCACGTCACCCTGAGACAAATTTGATAAGTCGCATGTGTCTATAGTTTCACCAGGACCCTAAACCCTTCAAAACCGAAACATTACTCCTTGACGGCGGAATTAGGGATGATGGCCGTACTGAACTCCTTCACAAAGAAATCTTCTGCAACAAAATGTGAATGTGGTAGACCGATATGATCACTCAGGTCAGAAGATTGGATAGAATGCCCCACAGCATGGTCACAACCATACGTATTTCCTCGTTCTTAGAGACGCTGTTCTTCTGGCAATCAGTCAAACTAACGAATTACTGTAGTAGAGTACATATTTGGAATATTTTGTATCTTTACTACCACGAACTTCTTCTACTTCTTTGTGTTTGTGTTTCATTCGCTCCCTCTATTTCCCTATTATAAACTCTCGTGAGCAGATCATTATGTTAATGATCTCATGGATATAGTAAATAATGCGTAGTAAATAAGAAATACCGCATACTTATCAAACTAAAAATAGATTGTTGTAAGGAAGAATACGTCATTGGGTATTACCCATTACGTTGTTAAAACGGTACATTATTGTCGGCTGACTTTGTGGACTCAGCAAACAGTGGGCTTACAGCGCTTTACTTGTTTAATTATCACGTAATATGTAAATACATTCTGCAAATATTGTCGACTATGGAAACAATAGTCAGCTCGTGTGGGAAACTCCTTGTGGTATTATAGTTTTTGGCTTGCGACTTTTTCTCTTAAGCCGCTCACGCGATGCGCTCCTCCTACCTCAAAATGGCGGTTATTTGGTTTCGCAAATTAGAAAAGCATTCAGTTTAAATACAAGTTTTTATAAATAAAATTTATTATTCTGCATTGCTAAATAAATACCCTCCGTACTACCAACAAAAACATCTCAAATATAATGCAGTAATACACCGCAAATCCTGCACTTAAAAAGCACCAATGAAATTTTTGGTGTACTTGGATAAATATGATAATATTCCGTTTGAGTGGTTCTAACGTTTACCATGAAATTACTCCTTAAAGTATAGTTTATAAACATTTATATTCAGGGTAAACTTAAAAAACGCAACTTACGGTATGTTTTCAATAAATAAACACCGAAATCACCAGCCCAAACAATAACACTCACGATTGTCGTGACGTATTTTTGAAGTTGTTTATTTTTTTAAATGACAGACCCAGGCATTAAAAACTTTATGGTTTGCTAGAGTAGTTACCGAAATAGCAATTAATATTAGTTCTTTTACCTGCTATAACTTTGATATCCGATAAATCGGTATAAAATCATCACGCGCACCTTTAGGTATGGTATGCGTCTACGGCTGCATGTATCGCGTGAGCGGATAAGGATGAACGTCACTTATTTATCTGTATCCATCTAAATTAATCCTTTTAGTTGTTAAACTGTAATATCGTGACATACACCCACTTTCCATCACAATTGAAATTATACTAATATGACGAACGTAAAGTTAATATTATTTTGGAAAACTTAACTCAAAATTGAACTGTAAATAATAATAAAGGCGATAGTCTAAAATAGATATCCATAATAATCATAAATAAAAATCATTACATTGTCTCCACAAACAACATGTGTAAAAATATCTTATTTAAGAATATAATGTTTTTGTATAGGTTGGCTTCTGAACTAGCAAAAGCTACAACCAGGTGTCCACTCCCGAGCCGACTAAATTGTTATGGTTGAATACTTACAAGGCAACACTAATTTTAAATTTTACTTACTACAAAATGAAGTGTGTGCCAGAAATATTTCCATAAAAATGGTACCTAATAATTTTTTTGTGCTTGGTATGATATCTAATTTCCCCATTCTGATTCACAACACAAAAAACCAATGTATTGAGAAAGAATGCGCAACAATTTATTTTATAACAAAGTACATTTAATAGAAATGAAACTGAAATGCAAACAAGATGTGATAGGTTTAAATTTTACAAACATCGTCATTGTATGATATCGTTATCTATAATTTCGGGAATAAGTGAAAGTAAATAATCTTCTATATCACTAGAACAAAGCCATTTCGCACATACTTGACGCAAAATAGATAATTTTAAAACACGTGTGGAATTTTTTTGCGAAACTTATCTTCGCATCTTCAAAGTCACATTCAGGTCACAAGTTTATAACAACATGATTAACACTAATTACAAGTTTCTTATCATGGCATGAGTGCTTTATATATTTATTTAATCAACAGGATTTAAATATCGGGAAAACAAAAAGAACTCAAACCGTGGTAAGAAACCTGTAATCACTGATAATCATTTAAACTCGCTCTATTTAGAAAAATTCATTTTTCAAATTTGTCTGGATGTTCTTCTGGGTAGTGCCTCGAATAAAAGATCCGAAAGTTTTGGAATTTGAGGCATTATAGTCAAGTTAGCCTGCATGCAATCATACTACTTACGTGCAATTGTGATGAAATAGATATTTGTTACGCAAGGCTGCAAAGTTGTTGTTTTAACGCGAGTGCATGTATAATCACAATTTGGAGTTACAATGTTTTTCGGGCTAGCCATGTCCATATCACTGAAAAACCCAACGCGGTACTTGTGTCAATCGAATTTGAGCCCATTTACGATATAGTTTGGATTCTTAATTAATTAAACGTCCCTGGTGCCAACGTGGCTTAAGAAAGGGTTTATGAAACACTCGCCCGAGATCATGGAACCTATAAAGAGCCCGAAATGTAGATTCGTTTGAAAAAACAAATGTACGCCATTTGCGATGCGGATAAATATAGTCGAACGTTTACACATTTTCAGTTTAAACATTTTGCACATACGGTGTAGCAAAGGCACAATTGTATTATAGAGTTCTTAGGTTTTCGCGATTCCTATAAAATAGAAATGAAATTTTTTTCAAATTAAATCACCTAGTTTTTTTCCAAAACTAATCAATATTTCGAACGATTTAGGACCCATGGTCACCGTTGATTCAGATGGTCATGAACCAGTTATGGCTAATATTAATGCAAACCACTCAATTCTGAAGTTTATCAAAAAACATATTGCAATTTACGACAATAAAATTTTATGTCTAAATAATATATATTTGTAAACGTAAAATAATTTGACTGCCGAGCGAAACACAACTTTTCACCTCACTATAACGAGGAAAATGGTAAATGAAAGAAATAGTTCAACTATAACAAAATAATTTAATAAACAAAATTAGTTATCGTTGTCTATTTAATGTCAACAATAATAAATATACCAACGGATTTATATTACATAAATAATTTGCGACAAATAGCGAGTTGAACTTGTTATTATGTTTTTTTTTCATCGAAAGAAAAAGTTAGGTGCAACACAATCCATCGTCAAGTTCAAATTTCAATTATCAGTGCAGTGTATTAAAAAAACAGACCTCAAAAATCATTAATCCCCTAGTCTGCCACCCTTAGAGGTGAAATATTTTCTTCAAATTTAAATGGAACCGCTGCTGAGGCACTATCTTTACAACAAAAAAAGAATATCATGGAAAAAACGTTTTTACGTGCACTTTTCTAATGAGAAAGAAAGCCTTTCCGAGCTAGTGGATGAAAAATAAATTATGTCAATATTTATTTTTAAAGTGGTCCTGATTTGCCTTGTGTTTATTCGATATTTGTATTACTAAACTTGTAGTACTAAACGTTGAACATTTCTTGTTTGCACAGTACCTCAGCTACAAATTCCGCCGCGTATACGCTTTTGGGCGAGAGCTGTTCCGAGCGCACCAGAGGACGAGCAATGTTGCTGTGCACATGCGCACTTATGTGCTCGCAAGCTGCAGCTGCCGGTAAGTGTACCGCAAGTTTTACTCGTGTCCTATACAGTTTAGGCGCCTGCCTACTTGTAAAAGAACAATTACCCTTATGCTCTCTAAATACCTGGAATTACGCCAATACAGACATTGGGTTACCGGTTGCTTGATTTAAACTTGATTTTTAATTCGGAACTTAATCATGTATAAAACATATTTTAATTACCTCGACGTTTTGGACGTATTGCAACGTCCATGGTCTCGAAGGGACTGAAGAGGCGGGTGTCAGGTTCTTCTAGCCGCGCGAGGTTTTCTAGCTACCCGCACTTGGTCTTCATTAATTATTTCTGCACTAGAGTTATTACTAAACCGACACACAACACTCACGACATTCACTCAGTCCCTTCGGGTGCGGGTCAGGCGCGGGTTGGGTCGGGACCAAAGCGGGTCTAAGATACCAGCGTGTTCGGTACTTTATACATTAACGCGACATTCTTAACATTTAAATACTTGTTCACAGTATTCGCCTACCCAATTCTGCCTTTGGGATTCTCCTACCACATAGACTTTTTGGGCATCGAGTACCGTCCCTGGAGGTTGCTTGCCCTAGTCATGGCACTCCCCTGCCTTGCTACAGCCGCTCTACTACGACTGTTCCACGAGAGTCCCAAATTCCTTGCTTCCAGAGGAAGATATGAAGAGGCTCTGCAAGTGCTAAAGAGCATCTACGCTTGTAATAGTGGAGACCTGGCTGATAATTTACCCGTAAGTAAATTATCGTAATCGTATTTTAACTTTTTAGATTATTTAGCAGCAGATGATAATATATGGTAAAGAGTAAACATTGTTTATCGACTTAAAGCTCTCAATATATTCAATAAAAGTGAGAAATATTTCTCGTGGTCAATACTGGGGTAGGTATTTGTTAAATACATCGAGTATATAACCGGAAATATAGACGAAATGTTATTTCATTTGTGTGAAAACTATTCTGCCAAATCATCACTGTGATAACTGCGTGCCGATTGGCCAGCCCGAATTCGAAACAATTGACAGGTGTCGTCATTGACTTACAATGATATGGACGTCGGGTCCGCGCTAAAAAGTGTCCGCAGTTGTAAGGCGCTAAAATCGTATACAGAGCGCCAAACTCCGCTTTAGTCTTCATTTGTTCGACTGACAGCGCGATACTGCGATGACATTACAATTTAAATTTCGAATAGGTTGACTTGGGACATTTTTTTCGTGGTTTTTGTATTAAACCCGTCGTCCATTTATTTGTAAGTCAATGGGTGTCGTCAATTGTTTCATTTCAAATCGACAGTTTAACTTGAGCTTTGCTGTAATGGACGAAAAATGCAAAATTACATATTTAATTTTTAATTACTAATGAAACATGATTCTGTTTGTTTTGCAATTAGATGTTTTGCTGTTTCTCCCACATCACCGAACGTAACAGCCCTAATTGTTACAGATATTATCTTTATTTCAATAAATACAGAATATTTTATGGTTACATATTACTAACATCATAAACAACAAGTTTTGTTCCATGATTTTTAATAACTAACTACCTCCGTGACCGAACTGTTACCACACTGGTCTGTTACGCACAGGTCCTAGGTTCGATTCCCGGGCCGGCAGAAATATTTATATGGCCTACATTCATTTCTCACGTGAGTTTGGATGTAATTTGTGGTTGTCTACGTGTGTGTCCGCGACACAGGGTTTCGCCCCTACATTGAATTTATGCATTATTGAATATTAAAAAAAGAATGGGATAAAAGTGGTTTCTCAATTTAGAAATCGAAGCTTCGAATAACTACTATGTGAATGTGATCTTTGTACTTATCAATAATGAAAAAATATTTTCAGTAAATGTATTACGTTTTGTAAAAAGCAATGGAACAAAAGTTATTGTTTAAAGGTATGACGTCATTAATGTAGAATTACAAGGTTGTTTAAATTTTACAATTAACTCTGTGTACATACATTGAATTCAAGTTTTCTTAATCATTCTCTATAATCTTCAGGTGCAGAAACTGATCCCCGAGAAAGGAAATCAACAAGTTGATGAGCAGGGATCCTTCTTACGTTCTCTCTGGCAACAAACTGTACCCCTGTTCCAGGCACCATTGTTACGCGACACCATCAAGCTATTCTACTTAGTTGCTGTTATTTACATGACGTAAGTGTGATATTTCGCAAAGGTCACAATTTAATCTTCCTTCCTTTTACTTCTTCGTCGTAAAAGGAAATAATAAGGAAACAACGTGGGGTATCAAACGTAAAACAACAATAGTATCATGGAAGTGCATAATATCTAAAACTTCAATAATACATTCGACGAATAATAATAACTTCATTATAAACAAACACCGACCTTTAGAATTTTATCTATTTGCCAAGTTTGATACATCACCACCATCAACCCGTTTATACGTCCCACTGCTGAGCATGGGTCTCCTTTCAAACGAGGGTTTAGGCCGTAGTCCACCACGCTGGCCCAATGCGGGTTGGGACCTTCACACATTTGCCGAGGGTTGTGAAACGGTAACCTATCACAAAGTCGATAACTTTTTTGTCCGAAGTAACGTTTGTTCGAATTTTCATTACACCGAAAATAGAATTATAACGAAACAGTTGTTCTTTCAGGATATGTTGAATGTTTATCGCAAAGACACGATTAGGTTCAAAAGAAAAAACATTTTCCTCTCAAAATTATTTTCGAGGTTATGAAATTTCGACCAATCGTTATTTCTGGAAAATATCATTTCAGACTACTGATAGGTAGCCTTGTGAAACTTCTTCAACGTGGAACGTGAAGGATAATATCGTGATGAGTCATACCGAAAAGCACATGAATTCCTAGAGCTACGAGCTGGGATTCGAACCCAGGACCATCTGCTTAGTAGATCAAACCATTAGGCTACCCCAAGTTTGATTGAAATTGGTTAATGTAAAGTGGGTGAAATCCTATAAACAGTATTTATAACCTAATTTTGCACACTTAGAGGTGGAGTATTTTCTTCAAATATGAATGGGACCACTGAAGTATAACCCTTTTAAACAAAAACAGAAACATCGAATTCGGTTTTGAAATACCGAAGTACTCGCGTGACCTACACACAAAAAATACAGTCAAATTGAGAACCTCCTCCTTTTTTAAAGTCGTTTAAAAAAATAAACTAAATTTGTGGTCGTTAAAAGAGCACCATTAACAGCAGTCATAATTTATCTTTTACTACTAAGTGGAGGTCGTCTTGTTTATAACCTAAGGGTCGTTTTATGACGTCATAACTCTATTTAGGTACTGAAAATCTGCACAATATACAGTTTTCATATATGTACATACTTTTGTTAACAGTGGCAGCGGATTCATTCTCTGGCTTCCATATATCATGAATAACCTGTTCGTGGTTTTGGAGTCCGGAGGAGGTGACGGCATGAACCTCTGCTCCGTTCTCAGCTATTCTACTGGCGACAGCTTTGTCAACGGAAATGATACAGTACGTGAATGTTTTCTTACTCTATTGAAGGCCTTTGGACTTTGTAAACGAAGTCCAAATTCAACCATGCATCTACATGTATATACCTCTATATTATATGATAACTAGTGATGGGACGCCTGGTGGTAAGCGACACGCCTACGCATAAACATTTGCATTGCCCTCAGGGCTTTAAATTGGAAAGATCTGAGGGGCACTGCGCCCGTCGCCCTGTTATATAAAGTTGACAAGTTCCATGTGCCTGCACCATTTCACCAGCACCCTTACTCGTCAAAGCCGAAGAAATAGGCAGGGTGGCAGAACTTCCCTGGACGAACTTTATTTTATCCGTAGGCGGAGGCCTGGAGACCTATAACACAGGGTATCCTAGTTTAGGCTCCAGCCTTCACAGACAACAAATGTTTTATTACTAAAGAATGTTTTATTATCTTTGAAATTGTGTGTGAAGGAAATAAAATTATTATTATTATTATTTTTTTTTTTTAAACTCTTATTATTATTATTATTATTAACTCTTTCACAACTTCTATTGCTGTTAACTACGTGCCTCTGGTATTCCAAAGTTCATCCTTACATATTTACTTCCAGACCATACCCACCTGTGATGACACAATCCAAGACACTACTCTCCTATCAGCTATGGCTTACGGCGCAATTGCCAGCTCCATAAACCTGGTTCTTTCTCTTACTTGCGGTAGCAGAAAACGCCTAGCCATGATGGGGATCCTGGGAGTTTCAGGTTTAGCTGCAGTTTTTCTGAACCTGGTGCATACACCTATAGCCGGAGGAGTTTTCTTCTTTGTGTTTCTGCTGTGTGCACTAGCGATGGGCATCTTGAGCGTTTATTTTGTGGAGTTATACCCTACTTCTTTGAGGTGAGTTTTACAGAGATTTTAAATTGGTAACTTGAAGACATTTCTTATAATATGTTTGCTAAACTTCCGGGATCATAACACAACCCAAACATTACAGTGTAACTCATTTCGGCTGCTAAAAAAACTTTAGTAAAGACTATTTAAAATAATATTTTCGTCCACGTTCACTACGTCTGCCTATACTTCAACACGTGAGTCCTACGAAATAAAATTCGGATTCGGATACGATGTCGTTATCCAACAGCGTTGACGGAGTTAGTCGGTGAAATAGATTATAGAAAAATTTAAATCCTTTTATATAAATTTTGAAGACTTGAAAGGTCTAAATCTAAAATATAGGAATGCATTAGTCTCGCGTTAAAATAAATTAATAAAATTGAACAAAATCTAGACTTTATTTAAAATAATAAGAAATTTCCATATTAAAAATTTGCTTTGTAAACAGTAGGACGTTACTGAGTCAAAGTCAAAGTCAAAGTCAAAGTGTCATTTCGGTTCGGTTTCCAATACGATAGTTTGACGTTCAATTCGAATGTTGTGAATAAAAATGAAAAAAATCAGTCGACAACTGAGTTATCGTAAGGTTCTGAATCGACCCCCAGGTCCTGTTTATGTCTATTGCCTACAGCTCTGGTCTCCGGTCATGCTTATCAATGTATAATTCCACAGAGGCATGGCATCCTGCCTGTCAGTGATGCTTGGACGGTCAAGTGCCTTCGTTGGCGTCAACGCCATTGGTGCTCTTATCTCCATAAACTGCGAAGCCACCTTCTACGTCTGGGCCATTCTTTTATTTAGTAAGTATTTCGTTTTGTGAAGTATGTTCAAGGAATGAAATAATGGATCCCGGTAGCGGAGTTCCAAAAACGTTAGCAGCATTGCCTGTTCTTATAGCTGTATGAATATATTTACAAAGATGTCTACTTTATAATTGCTCTGTTCATTTATTACCTTCAGGGGATTCAACAGCTTATAAATATCGTATTGATTGAATTATAAATTCATAAATGTCAAATGCGATAATTGATTAAAATCTTAGGAAACAATCAATCTTTAATGTTCGTAACACTGATAAGCGTTTTATCCAACTAACAATATGAAATTCTATTTCAGGTGCTGTAGCAGTAACATGGTTCCTACCCAACGACCGAGCAGTTAAAAAATGAACCAGTATTTAACACTGAACGCAGAATCTAGAACTAGAGTTTAGAATCTAAAATCCTTACCCTGCAACTGCAAACTGAGCAATCTGCAGCAAAGGTACCTGAGCTCAGAACTGATAATTTATAACATAGATTGTAAGAGTTAATGTTAATGGTATAAATCTCTGCTGGTCAGAGACCTTATCCGATTACCAGTAAAATCCTTGAAAACGGCTTGAATAAGAACTTCTAACACTATTGCAATTTATGTTCTGGAGAAAGTCACGGTAAAACATAAAAACAGAGGAGACGACTTATTTGTTTCAATGAACAAAGGGTATTGGAGAGTGTTTCTAAGGTTGAGGTAAGGTTTCCAAGGATTTAAAATCTTATCTTAACAATTTTAATTTCGGGGAGAATTTGAATAACAGTTAACCTTTTTCTTTGTTATTGTCGCCTGAAATATATTGTTGTGACATTGTTATATGAAATAAATGATTATATTCTATTATTTTCTTTTTAATCAAAAAAATTAGAACGTTACAAATATATCATCACCTGACAAACTCCCGTCTACCTGTAGGATAGTATAGTATGTAATATTGACTAGTAACTATAACCTCTGGGCTGGTGGTAAGCTTGGCAGATGGCCGTGAAATCCGGGATTGTTCCGGAATATTTTCGTCTTGTTCCGTCTCCAGTAATTAGACTTTACTGTCCCGGATTCCAAACACTTAGAAATTGTTTTTACAAACTTATTTAGAATCCTTTTCATATTATAAAAATAACACTAACTATAAAAATACAACGACTAAAAATATTCACGTAATTTGTGGATGTTCAGTTGCTTTTTTTTAAAGTAAATAGACTTGCTCTTAACCGCTATCTAGCCCTGAGCGCAGAGGGTCTACGGAACGAGCTCGCCCAGAAGACTCAGTTGCACCTTAAAAATCCAGTGATTTGTATTTTTTTATTTTATATTATTAAAATTTTTACAAAAAGAAAACTTATAAATTAAAACATAGCGGTACAACAAAAACCTGAATAGGTTTATCCGTACACCGCGAATTTGTTCCCGGAAATACAATCGCAAAAAAAAGCGCTTAGTACGGTTGAAGGGAATATCGACCTACTAGGAATGATATCCCGCTGAATGTAGTTCACTGCGTAGTCTGTGTACCGCTGTACGTCTAGTGGAGCTCATAAGCACAATTACCGAAGTATATTCTTACTTTGGGATCAACGCACGTTATGTTGTCTAATATTTATTTATTTATTTAAAGAGAATTTAGTGTTCTCTTGAAAATATTGCATTAAACTTACTTCTCATTTTGTATTAACGTTTAAACTACGCAATTTATCAGGAAACTGATTAATATTCTGACTTATATTAACCATGACCAATATTCGTTTCCTGATAGTGGCTATAAAATTTCATCGATTATGATAAGTTTCTATCGATAATACATTTTTAATTGACTTCAAAAATTAGGAGATTGTCAATTCCACTGTGAATAATGTGTGAACCGATTTGGACTGTTCATTTTGTTGTCCCATTCAAATCTGAAAAACATATACCATCTCCGAGGGTGGCAAATTGGGAGATGAATCCGGTTTATTGAATTTCACTTACTTTCCAGTAACACACAAGCACATAGATAACGTGACCGTACGTCCCGCTTTTAGGCTTCGTGTCCCGCTGTCACAAAACAGAACACATGAACCATAAATTTAAAAAAATGGCGCTAAAGCGAAAAATATATAAAGCCAACCAGACATCGAGCATCAGATTACACAAGGTTCTATTTTTAAATTTTTGATTCATTAAACAATTTTAGTTCTTTTTTTTATTTGAATAAGATTTCGTAACTATCATAGACATGCATTTTTTTTAATTTACTGGCATCCCGCTCTGAGGTAAATAAATAATGGCCACGTCACACATAGATGTAGTTTCAATGAAAATAAAAGGTTATGGTGTTCTAGAGCTGGTCTGACTATGAAAATGGCAGATAGATAAAGGCAACTCCTCAATATTGCACAGCAGCTACCTTGCGTTTAGCCTCATATGATTCGTTTTAACAAAGACTTCCATATTATGCGTTTCAGTCAGTGTAGAAGACCGCGGTAACGAACGCAATGAAAGCGGATAAATAAACTTTTGAGTCATTTTTTAAAATTAATCTATTATGTTCCACTGTTGCGATAAGGTCTCCCCAAAATCATCATCATTATCATCATCATGGTCAGCTACTATCAACCCGCTGCTGGGCATAGGTCTTTTCTTTATTGTTGCAATATTTTCGATCATGCGCCATTCGCATCCAGCGCGATCCCGCAAATCTGACGATATCGGTAGACCATCGGGCTGGTGGTCTGCCTACTGGCCTTTTTGCTCCTCTTGGCCACCATTCCGTGACTACTTTGGTTCATCGTCCATCTTCTCGTCTAGCTAAATGTCCCGCCCACCTTCTCCTTAACCTCATGATGCAATTACTCACGTCATCGACCTTCGTTTTACGTCGAATTTCGATGTTTGGTACATTATCCACTAGAGGAATGCCCAGCATAGAACGCTCCATCGCTCATTGTGCCATCTTAATTTTCCCCCAAAATGCTCCCCGTCTTTGGCGATCTCGCACCACTCCTTCTCAAATCCATCAAGATTGTTCCGCCAACGCCTTCTAGGCCCCGCCGTCTCTTTCCATACTAGGGCACCCAACGAGTAACGACGTTCGCCCACTTCTCGGGTTGCATCCGGCCCACGTGTCCCGCCCAACCCCATTTTGCCTGATTGTTTTGCTCCCTATATTAACAACGCACCGTTATCGAACGCAGCATTGTATTGCGTATTCGATCAATACATTTAAAGCCCAGAATGCTGCGTTCCACCGCCCTCTGGCAGATCTTGAGTTTATCCGACCGATCCGATTTGCAGAAGTCGGTTTTTTATATATTTTTTCAATTATAATAGAAGTCATGCACCTAATTGTAAGCGACGCGCCCGTCCATAGCAGTTGCAGTGACACTCAGAGTTTTAAATTGGAAAAACGTATACCATCTCGCTAATAAGGTATCTAGATTTACATACGCTCTATGAGAAATAAAACTATCCACTGACTTCTCTACTTTTGTTTCTTAGTTAAGTTACGGCTTAGTGCTATTGGGCAATAATACTGACGCCCCATGCCTATTTCCGTTAAAAAAAATCTTATCCGAATAATAGTAAACCTTAAAGAAATAGATAGTTGCCGATCTCACTTCCAAAAGCACAATTGACTCACGCTTCCCTCAATATACATCTTTGAGATCTGTGAAAAACAGAATTTTTTAAAAGCCGTCAAGACATTCCAGTAAAACATTTAATGAGTCAGAAAAATAGATTAATGCTTCCTATATCTAGATTAACTCTACATTCCTCTGGCCCATACGTCATATCCATACAAATTTGTAACAAACTGCCTGATGTACTGAAAAACGAACCAATGATAGAATATTAAAAAAAACACATATAGGACTTATTAATAAATAAATCTTGTTACGATATTAAGGAATTCCTGAACGGAACCTTTTACCAAAAAGGTAAATTTGAAAACAGCCACTTACTCTATTCCCCTCTATTTTGTTGTGCCCGAGAGGGTCCAATGATCTTTCTACTATGTAACACCTCGAATACAATTGTGAATTAATTAATATTAAATTGCAAAGATCCGAGGGGCACAGCCACTGCGCCCGTCAGCCTGAAACACAAGTTGAAAAGTCCCACGTGCCACACCCTTACTCGTCAAAACCGAAACGCCGTAACAATCACATAATATATTACTGCTTGGCAGCAGAAATAAGTAAGGCGCAATTAAAATCAAGTTACTTACTTACACTTATTCCATATTGGTCAATTAATGGAGCATAAATTGATATCATAGTTCCGTGGTTTGATTTGAAGCAATCTGGTCGATTATTTTAAAAACACGTGCGGATTATTAATATTATCGCGGAAGCAATATAACATTTTTGGTTTTATCATAATTGCGTTATTTACTATTGATTGCCATGCCTTCTACTGTAGGTCGAAAGAGAATCGAGATTTAAATAATTACAATGCAATACTACGTATTACAAAATAAAACAAACGTATTAAAAAAAGCCGTAGTATCCTAATGGTTTGACCTAACGCCTTCAAGCTGAGGCCGTGGGTTGGAATCCGTAATAGCACCTCTGATTTTCTTTCTTTAATAGCAGTAGAGCTCCTTGTGAAAGAGTTCGTCGAGGGAAGTACTGCTACGATACCTATTTCTACCGCCAACCAGTAGTGTGAGCATTACTGCGTTACAGTTTGGTAGGATAAGGCTGCTGGTGCAGATTAAGCTCTGCTGCATACGCAGTCAGTAGAATACGTGAACTTACCGATGTTGCTACTACTAGACTAGTTTACTTTATGTCCTTCGGGATTCTCATGTGGGATAAAGCGGCAGATTTGTGATGCAAAAACGAGCGATTCGTTCTGTGTACCGTTTAGGTTCTCGGATTTATCATGACTGTGGCATCACGGTACATTTACTCAAATATTTTGTATGCCCGTGAAAATATCCATAATTTCGTTAAGAAAGAATAAATCCATAATATTAACCTTAGAACTAAGTCCAAACTCATGGTACCACGTTTTCGTTTAACTAAAGTAAACGATTCTTTTATGGGGAACGTATACGTTTTCACAATAAGATTCCGGAGCATATAAGATTACCATTTCCTAAGCTTAAACCTTACTTTAAAAGTACTTTGATTGAAAAGTCATATTACAAACTACGTGTTAGATAAAGATGTACGGAAAGACAATGTGAGTCTAGATTCCACACAAATGTTATTCAAAAGGTATTCTATAGCATTTAAGTTTATTTGAAAAGAGCAATCCCTAGAGTTTCTTGCTCGTTCTTCTCAGGGAGGTCAGCGTAGTGAACGAGCAGTAGCTTAAATGTGACGTTTTCAAGTGTAAATTTATTTTACCTATGGAATAAATGATCTTTGACTTGGACTTTGACTTTGATCACAGCATATCAATGCTTAACGGATTGGGATAGTTTTTTAATTCATTTCATACATAACACTAAACTACTAAAACCTGCACGTCGAAAAAGGTTCACCCTAAACCGCACTCGGCCAGGGTGGCGGAGTTTGATCTAAACCCTTAGTTCCCAAAGTGGTCCCACAGGGGTCAACGGGAGACTCGATGGGTTACAAA